TTCCATCTTGTCATTTTGTCCAGAGGAGAATAGATGAATGAGAGAACAAAATGCTAACAGGGTAACAACATCCCCAGAAAATATACACTAAACAAATCAGAAAAGATCTGAAACCGGGGGAAAAGAAAGGGAAAGAAAGAAAAAAGAAAAAGGTAAACAAAAGCATAACAAAACAAAGAAAACAGAATATGATCAAATATGATCAGGCTGGTGAATAGATCAGTGCCACACACTAGATTTTGGTCATATTTTGGTCTGGTAGAAGAAAGTGCCTCTCAAAATTTTATTTTATTTTTTTAAAGATTTTATTTATTTATTTGACAGAGAGAGACACAGCGAGACGGGGAACACAAGCAGGGGGAGCAGGAGAGGGAGAAGCAGGCTTTCCACGGAGCGGGGAGCCCGACATGCGGCTCGATCCCAGAACCCTAGGATCACGACCTGAGCTGAAGGCAGACGCTTAACGACTGAGCCACCCTGGCACCCCACCTCTCAAAATTTTAAAGAAAGGAAAACTTATATATGTACAAAAATAAGGGTTAATACGATGAAGGGATGGAATATGACTGTAACGATGAAAATTATAAAAGATTTTTAAAAGGAATTGATAGGTAAGAAGTTGGTTGAAAAAAGAAAGAAGAGAATTAAAAAAAGGGGAGAGAATGTGATCAGGCAGGAGACTAGAACAAAGCCATACACTAGAGATTTAGGGTGTATTTTGATCTGTTAGAAGGAATTGTATCCCAAAATTTTAAAGAGAGAACCACTTATATATATATATATATATCTATATCTCAAAAATAAGGGTAACTACTATGAAGGGATAGAATATGACCCTAAAAATGAAAAATAAGATTTTTTTTTAAAAAAGGGATTAAAAAGATGTTGCTTGAAAACGGGAAAAAGAAAAATTAAAAAAAAGTAAAAATAAAAAATTAACTTTGAAAGACTAACGAATCATGGGGAAAAAAGCCATGGATTCTATGTGCAGTATTCCCCTAGTGCTGGAGTCCTGCCATTCTCATTGATCAGTAAACTTGGTCTTGGCTGGCTGTTCTTGCCGATCTTCTGGGGGAGGGTCCTGTTGCCGTGGTTCCCGAATGTCTTTGCTGGAGGCGGAATTGCTCTGCCCTTGCCGGGTCCGGGCTAAGTAATCTGCTCTGGTTTGCTCTTGGGAGCTTTTGTTCCCTGCAAGCTTTCCATACAGCTTTGGAGGACGAGAGTGAAAATGGCAGCCTCCCAATCTCTGCCCTGGAGGAGCTGAGAACTCGGGGGCCCCACTTCTCAGTGAGCCCCAGAGAAAAGAGTTAATCACTCCCATCTCCCCGGTCTCCGGCCGCATTCCATGCTCACCCAGCCAGTGTCCGAGCGTTTCTATCTCTGGTACCCATCTGGGTGTGGAGTCTCCAAACCCAGCAGATCCCTGCGGTGTGCTCCCACGCCACTCCTCCCGGGGGAGGAAGGGGAGTCTCCCTAGATCTGCCAGATCTGCTGCTTGTTGGGTCCCTGCTGGAAGATCAGTGGCCCGACTGTGCCACAGATCACGGTTTATGGCAACCCCGAGGTGAGAGCCCACTCCTCAGCTACGTCTCTGTAGCCAGCTTACCCGCTCCGATACCTGGGAGCTCTGCCACATTTAGGCACCCCCGGTCTTTCTGTGACCCCGAGGGTCCTGAGACCACACTGTCCCAGCGAGGGTTCCAACCCCCCTTAGCCACTGGAGCGATGTTCCTCAGTGGAGCAGACTTCTAAAAGTTCTGATTTTGTGCCCCGCTGCTCTATCACTCGCCAGAAGTGGCTGATGGAGGCCCCCTCCCCTGCCGTCTATATTCCCAAATACTGCCTCGGATTTACTTCTCCGCATGTCCTACCTTCCAGAAAGTGGTTGCTTTTCTGTTCATAGAGTTGTTGCTATTCTTTTCTTTGATCTCCTGTTGAGTTCGTAGGTGTTCAGAATGGTTTGATCCCTATCCAGCTGAATTCCTGAGACCAGACAAAATCCAGGTCTCCTACTCCTCCGCCATGTTTCTCCTCCCCCTGGAACCAATAATTGTTTTTGTTTTTTACCTTCAGTTTGCTTAGTTTTTCTATGCATGTATCATTATTTCAGTCAGGCTTTTTTTTTTTTTTTAAAGATTTATTTATTTATTCAAGAAAGAGCAAGCAAGCTGAAGGAGGGGCAGAGGGAGAGGGGGAGAATCTCAAGTCGACTCCCGGCTGAGCACAGAGCCCAACGTAGGGCTTGATCTCAGGACCCAGATTATCATAACTGGAGCCAAAGTCAAGAGTCGGACGCTCAGCTGACTGAGCCACCCAAGCACCCTAGCCTCAGACGTTACTAACAGAACTGTAAAACGCTTGTTGACATTTCCCGACACATCACATTATCCTTGAGTTTCATTTTCTTCCACATCCCTCCTAGTGCTGTCTATCCTCGTGTTCTGTAGACCTCCAGTGTGGCTTTGTTTCTGGGATTTCTTTACCATCATTTCAGTAATTCTCTTTGCTTTCGTCCTGGTTTGGATCACATGTCTCACTCTTTCTTGGTTCATTTCCTTTATCAGGTGATGCATATCCTTTAGAAGATTTCTGAGGAAGAGTACACAAATGGCTAACTTTTTGAGATATTGACTGTTTGGAAATGTCTTTATTTAACCTTTATTTTTATAGTTGATGTTTGATTGGTTGAGTATGAAATTCCAGATGAGACTATTTTCTCTTAATTTTAACATCATTGTTCTGTTTTTTTTTAGCTTCCAGTGTTCCTGTTGAGAAATTGATGCCATTATAATTGTCTCCCTCCTTATTTTACCCTCCCCACTTCCTGAGCTCATCTGTCTCAGCTCTTTCAGAATATTTTATCCATGCTGTAAAATTTTTTGGTCATTTTATGGTTATGGTATAGGTCTTCCCATGTGTTTGAAATCTCTTAACTTTACTTAGCTTTTGTATTCATAAGAAAAGAATATTGAGAGGAAAACCTCTTATGTTCTTTCCCATCAGTGAGATACTGAATCTCCTGGATCTATTCTCCATTTTTCTTATCTTTTCTTTACTATTTTCATTTTTGTGTTTCCCACCCCCTATCTTCTAGGATTTTTTTTGGACTGTATTTTTCAGTTTTTCTACTGTATTTCTTTCATCCAATACAATTTCTAGCATCTAGAAACATGATGGGAAATACAGCTCTGAGGGTCAGGGGACAGGTCTCAATATCATTGGGGTTTACACTAAGTAAATACTCAAGAAGGCATCTAATATACACATTCCTTTATGTACCAGATGATGCATTTTGTGTCATCTGTTATTCCTTTGCTCATATCAGATATACCACTAAGATCTTTTAAGTGTTTTCGGGGGGGGGGGTCTCTCTTTAGTCCTTTTCCTACTTCTATTGTTCATGCTATAGGTTTTGATCACTCCTTGCGGAATTATTTCAACAGTCTTTAAGTTAGATTTTCTCTTCTTTTTCCCTTCCTGTGAGAATCATCTTTATTTACTATTTCCATCATCAAAAACTTAAAGAAAAATCTCCAAAGAAACAGAATAGAGGGCCATAAGCTAAGTCTCTGCCACAGCTGTGAGATAGGGCCCCTGAAGGAGATAATCTGAAGAGTAGGAACCTAACCAAGATAGTATAGTTTTATAGAAATCAAGAGTACATTTTAAGAAGATAGGGACAAGAAGGAAATAAGAGAGGCCTAAGGAGGGGTATCAAAATTATATGCTATTTGGCAACCCTACCTTTTGATTGTTTACAATAATTTGGCAAAGGATACTAGTCTATGGAGTGTTAAATTGGGGAAGTGTATTATTATAGGACCTACTAGGTTGGTGGAAATGGAGAAGAATGAAATTGGTTTTGAAGTGACAATAGAGTCAAGAGAAGGAGTTAATTTCCCCCCTAGCATAGGGAAGATCTATTCATATTTGAAGTCTGTACAAAGGGAGATGTTGAGGGGTGCTTGGCTGGCTCAGTCAGAGAAACATGTGAGTCTTGATCTCAGGGTTGCGAGTTCGAGCCCCAGATTGGATGTAGAGGTAATGAATAAATAAATAAATAAATAAAAACTGCAAAAAGCAAAGGGAGATATTGAAAAGGTTATAGAAATAGAGGAAATTGAAGGTTCTGGAGGATTTGGGGATGAAACAATAATAGTGGTAGTGCTATGGGCTGAGCAGGGATGAGAATGTCATAGATGTTTTCCTTTTCGGATGAAAAGGCAGAAAGATGGAGTTTCTACTAGATGTTTTCTGTTTTCTTGGTATAGTAGTTGGTGAAGTCTTGTGTCAAGAAGGAGTGCATGGGAATTGGAGGGAGTGGAGAATATTTGGAATAGAGAATATTACAGGGTTTGCTAAGAAGCCATCCGGGAATGATAACAAGTGGTGGAAAGGACCCTTTACAAACGTCTTTTATGGAATAGTGTTTATATTCTAAAATGAATTTGAAAAACCAATGTAACTTATAAAGTTGCTTGAGTTGGCATGAATTTGTATAGTGAGGTCAATTAATTGGTACTTCTAACATACTTTAGCCCATGACAGTATGTTTAAGAATTTTATAAGTAGTTTTAAATTGTCTTATTCTTTAAGAACAAATCAGAGTAGTTCCTTTAATTACCTTCTGAATAGTATTTAGAATTGTATTGTTAAAATACCATGTAATTATTGTGAAATATGTATCAAACATTATGTATCTTATGTGATTTTTTTTCTAACCTGACCTTATTTGCTTATTTTAATATTGCTATTTTGTGTGCATATGTGGGTTATTTCTGTACCTAAGCTTTAATTTCCTTGAGAATAGGATCTAGGTCTTATACTTCTTTTTTCCCCTCGTCCCATCCTCTGTTACAGAGTTGCATAATTAAATAGAGTGTTCAATTAAATGGATGGTAGAATTAAGTGGATGGTGGTGTATATATTTTAATTCTTAAAAGAAGCATAATTCTTCCTTTTCACGATTTAATATACATATTATTTTTTTCCTGATATAGAAAAATCCAGTTACACTCTTAAAGGAATTGTCAGCAATAAAATCTCGATATCAAACTTTGCATGCACGCTTTAAACCAATTGCTGCAGAGCAGAAAGAGACTAAGAACCGCATTTGTGCTACTGTCAATAAGACTATGACCATGATACAAGAACTACAAAAGCAAACAGACCTGGAGGTAATGCTTTTTTGTAGTTTTTGTTTGTTTGTTTTTAAAAGATTTTATTTATTTATTTGTCAGAGAGAGCACACAAGCAGGGGGAGCAGCAGAGGGAGAGGGAGAAAGATGATCTGAGGCGATGGCAGTCATTTAACCATCTAAGCTCCCCTGGAGCCTCTGGATTTGTAGATTTTAATTCTGAGGGTTTTTTTTTTTTTAAGATTTTATTTATTTATTTGACAGAAAGAGAGAGCCAGAGAACACAAGCAGGGGGCAATGGCAGAGGGAGAAGGAGAAGTAGGCTCCCCACTGAGCAGGGAGCCTGATGCAAGGCTCATCCCAGGACCCTGGGATGATGACCCCAGCCGAAGGCAGACGCCCAACTGACTGAGCCACCCAGGCATCCCAATTCTGAGTGTCTTTTTAAAAGATAAATCCCCATTAACTTCCATTTGGAGATTCAGCAGTCAGTTTGAACTGTTGGTAGAAGTGAGATTTTCTTGATTCCTGAAGTATAATAGTTCTTTTCTTTTAAGATAAGCATGTGGGGGTACCTGGGTGGCTCAGTTGGTTAAGCGTCTAACTTATGCTCAGGTCATGATCTCAGGGTCCTGGGACTGAACCTGTATCGAGACCCATATCACATGGGGCTCCCCGCTCAGCGGGGAGTCTGCTTGTCTCTCTGCCTCTCCCTCCCCCCACTTGTGTTCTCTCTCTCCTCTCAAATAAATTAATAAAATATTTTTATTTTTATTTTATTTTTTAAGATTTTATTTATTTGACAGAAAGAGACAGCCAGAGAGGGAACACAAGCAGGGGGAGTGGGAGAAGGAGAAGCAAGCTTCCCGCTGAGCAGGGAGCCCGATGCGGGGCTCGATCCCAGGACCCAGGGATCATGACCTGAGCCAAAGCCAGACGCTTAACAACTGAGCCACCCAGTTGCCCCAGTAAAATCTTTTTAAAAAAAAGAAAAATAAGCACATGGACTTGACATGGTTAATAAAGAGATGTGCTATCCTGGATTATATAGTCATGTTAGAAGAGAACACTTGGTAATGCTCATCAAATCTGCCAGTTTTGTAGTTCCTGCAAGAACTAGTGAGACTGAGAAATGTGGAAAGCATCTATATCAGTAACTTTTTGAGTTTTCCTCTTATTAAATTGGGTTGGTGAGCTTGGGTAAGCCTCACCTTCATTCTCTCCCTCCATTCCCCATCCCCTTCTGATTTCATGTAAAAATCCTTGTAATTGCGAGCCTCTATCACTGATTGTGTAAAATTCTTCAGAATTGGTGGAGTAAAAAAAAAACAATGTGAGCTGCTGACCTAGGCATTATGATCTTAAATAGCCTAGTGAAAGATTTGGTCAAATTTTAATTTACTATTAAGGCAAAGTTGAGGGCTTTCAAAAGAAAAGATAGCATGTACATAGTTGGAATCAGAGAGTAAAGCTTAATTATATGAACAAAAGATGGCCAATAGGTTTTTATTTCTGCTGTCAACTCTAATCAATTAACTGGTAATAGCTTCTTAGAGTGCTGTATTGAGGAACTATGGGCATTGCACAAAAGCTATTTGCTATGGGCATGCAGCTAGGGGCAGCATACATGCTATTTTTATTTATTTATTTTTTTGCCAACCCTGAACTACATTTGGTTTAAGATACTTGAATTATGGGCTTGTAGTGAGAGTAAACCTCAAAGGTTGATTGCCGAGGTGAATTTGGTCAATAATTCTTTATATTACCAATGGCAGAAAAGAGAACAGTACCCAATTAAAAGTATAAAATGATACCTTGGGGCGCCTGGGTGGCTCAGTCATTAAACGTCTGCCTTCGGCTCAGGTCATGATCCCAGGGTCCTGGAATTGAGCCCCACATCAGGATCCCTGCTCTGCGGGAAGCCTGCTTCTCCCTCTCCCACTCCCCTTGCTTGTGTTCCTTCTCTCTTTCTGTCAAATACATAAATAAAATCTTTAAAAAAAAATGATACCTTAGATGTATCTCATGTTATGTACCTCAGATGTTATGTCATGGGGAGATGAATAGTAGACGAGGAAAGAGCAATTAAAAAGGGTACAGAGGGAATAGGAAGTAGGAATTTAAAACATTAAGGGTGGTGACATTAATATGTAAAATGCAAAAAAAGTATGTATATGATACCCTTTATAAATACAACTCAAGTCACATACTGTTCATGGTAGGTGATCAAAACCTAAAAATAGAAGCATATAACAAATCTTGAGAAGAGATTAGGTGTAGTTCTGGATGTACATACTAAAATATATTGTATAGAATTTCATAAATTTATTGAAGCACAGGATAAATTTAGGTGAGTGAAAAAAAGAGAAAAGGATTTTTGAATATTAACTAAATATTGTCCCCACTGGATATAATAAATAGATGCTACATTTCTGACAGAGATTTAAAAAATGGTGCAGAAAATAGTTATAATGGTGATAGAGGATTTCAATCATCTAAATATCTGTAAAGATCTTCATTCAGTTAAAAGAAGTATCTGTAATGAGCAAGGTAGAAAGCTAAGGGAGCTTTTACTTTGATTACATAATTACAAACAAGGAGAAATGACTGAAAGGTTGGTTATAGACCTTGAAAAAGGAGATCGTGTTTTAGATTCAATGATGGCCATGTTGGGGAATGTTGGATATAATGGATCTTGTACCTACTACTTCAAAAATGAGATAGTAGAAAGTTTAGAGAAAATTTTCATGATCAAAATGTGGAAGAAAAGGGAATGATATCTGTAGAAAGTTGTATAACCAGAAATAGTTCTATGAGCCCAGAGTTTTTTTTTTTTAAGATTTATTTATTTGAGACACAGAGAGAGAGCAAGAGAGCAAGCACACAGAGGGAGAGGGAGAGGGAGAAGCAGACTCCCTGCTGAGTAGGGAGCCCGAAGTCGCTTTTAATCCCAGGACCCTAGGATCATGACCTGAGCCAAAGGCTGACGGCTTAACTGACTGACCACCCAGGTGCCTGAGCTCAGAGTTTAAAGGACATGTAAGGTAGACCTCATAAGGGAAGTATAAAACAAGGTATATCAGTCATAGGGACAGAATTGTGAGAATATGTAAGAAAGTCAAAGGGTAGATTAAGTCCAGGCTTCTGAAATTTTCTAAAATAACCAAAAGGGCCTTTAAAATTATTTTGGGAACATGAAGAACAAGAAAAGGATAAGCCTTTTTAGGGCAAACAGTGCTTTGTTTATGTATAGACAACAGAAAGTAAATAGAAAGTAAAGCTGTTCAGGTATTATCTTGCTATAATCTTTATCAAGGTGCATAGTTTTTCACTTGCAAGGATAGAAAATATATTTGAATTGATAATATTCAAAAATAGCACATGGATTGATAATACTAAAAAACAAATAGGGAGATGAGAACAGAAAAGGAGGTGAAATGAAGGGAATACATATTAATTTCCTTATCTTTTTAAGTTAATATGAAGACAAAGGTTTTTTTTTTTTTAAAGATTTATTTTAGAGAGCAAGAGAGTGTGTGAGCAGTGGGAGGGACAGAGGGAAAGCAGACTCCCCGCTGAGCCGGGAGACCCATGCTGGGCTCCGTGCCCCGCCCCCCCCATCATGACCTGAAGCCAGAACTGAGTGGGATGCTTAACTGACTGAGCCACCCACGTGCCCTAAGACATTAAGGTTTAAATACACTTAATTATAAAGGTGTCCATCAAAAGACAAAGAGGACTAGATTTGTTCCAAAATAAAAATTAGCAAAACAAACCCCTAAAACAAATATAATTCAAAAGGCATTAAAAATAGAATGGGGCACCTGGGTGGTGCAGTCAGTTAAGCATCCAATTCTTGGCTTTGGCTGAGTTTGTGATCTCAGGGTCATGAGACTGAGTTCCCCATTGGTCTCTGTATTGGGTGTGGAGCCTGCTTAAGATTCTCCATCTCCTCTCCTGTGTGCACTCTCTCTCTCAAAAAAAAAAAAAAAAAAGAAAAAAACAAAGAATGTGTGATATTTCACTGATGATCTGAAACGTTTGTGTTAAGGAAGGAAATTTTCTACAAGCTTTGGATTGGTTAATTCCTGGAAAGATTCTTAGAAAGATTATAAAATAGATGGTCTGAAATCTCTTGAACAGTTATCACAGATAAACATGGACTTAGAGAGAACAAAGTCTCTCCAGAACCATTTCCTGTTTTTGAGATAGAAGAGGGACATTCTGTAACAATTTGTGTTGCAGTAAGGCATATGATTGTTTTTCATTTTATCCATGTGAACATTTTTGGTAAATGTTGGCTTGATTAGCCAAACCAGCTGGGTAGCCCAATTGCCACATGTGGCTATATAAATTAAAATTTAAAGTAATTAAATAAAATTAAAAGTTCATTTCTTCATCTGCTGATTAGACAGCACAGATACAGAATATTTTCAGTATCATAGAAAGTTCTACTGAAAAGCAGTGCTCTAGAGATTCCTATTCTGTAGGTATGGTGTGTTCCAGATTTTGCAGTCTCTCTAGAGATGACCTATATAGTTAGAGTTGTAACTATTTGATTCTTCATGTTGTACCTCCTATAATTTCCCCATTAACCCTTTGTTTTAGCTAGCTTGTTGGTTAGTGCTATGTGGAAGTCCTTTATAAACTTCCTTTTGGCTTTTCTTTGTCCCTGTGCTTTTGCTCCTACCTGCTTGTGGTGGATGCTGTCTGCTGGGTTGTTTTCTCAGCATCTGTTCTCCCTTGCTGCCGACTGGATACCGACTTTCTTGAGATGTGTGCCATCCCTCACTCGTGCCTGAGGCAAAGTTGGTGCTTTCCTCAGCTTCCCTGGGTTTTATCTGATTGGCAAGAGGAATGGGTTTGTAACCCAACTGACATGTGAGGAGGGAAAGTTTGGAAGTAGGAAGTTAGAGTTTCCTCACTCTTGAGAGACCTGTGGGAACAGAAAACTTCTCTTCTTCTAAACATTGTGTATAGATATAATGCCTAGCACTGCTCGGGCCATTTTTCCAATCATCTTGAGAATAAAGCCACCAGCAAGGATATTATATAAGGTGGGAAAAACCGAGCCTTTACATTGAGCTGCTGAATAAACCAGTTCTGAAATCTGCCCTTTTTCTGCATTTATTGTGCAATGATAATAAATTTTCTTATTACTTACCCATTTCGAAATGTGTTCCTGTTACTTGCAGCTAAAAACATCTCAATTATCCTTCAAAATTTAGCTCAAATCTTCACTTCTGAGGAAACTTCCAGACTATTTTGTTCACATTTCTTTTTCAAAATGCTTTTAGAATATGGGATTCAACCGTGACTTCTTTGGTTTTGTTAAATTACAGTCCTTAAACTGTTTGATTTATTGGTCTTGTTTCTTCAACTTAATTGCAAATTCTTTGAAGCTCAAACATTAAAAGTACCTTGTATATAGATAGCCAAATACTTTTTCCCTGCCTTCCTAAATTTGTGATCATAGACATGAGTTTATGGAAACATAAAAAAGCAGAAGTTAACTAAATTAAACATGTTTTAAAGATTTTGAAATAAAGATTTTGTCATTTGCTTTCTAGCTGTCACCACCGAGTAAAGAAGAGAAAACTGCGGCAGAGCAATTAAAATCTTTCATGTCAGACTTATGAAGAAATGGACTTGCAAAAGGGAATTCTAATGGAGAAGAGATCTATCTCAGAAAGATTTAGGATGATGTCTTGTTAGCACTTAATGACTAGAGGTGGGGGGATGGAGAAGAAGAAGATTTGGCTGGAGTGACTGGATAATGATGCTTTTCACAAGAGAGGGGACTATAAAAAGGGCATATATTATAGGAATAAAGTTTAGCCAAGAGGATGGAATGGGAATAGATTTAAAAATATATATGCACACACACTTAGTCTTATAATTTTGAGCAAGGAAGTCACATAACTCTATTTTGCATCTGTTTTTGTGTAATTGGGATAATATGGATGTCCTGGCCTATCATGAAAGGATATATGTACTATCAGTCAGATGTGAATGAGCATGTTTTGGAAATTAAAGGATAGAAAAAATATTTGTATTACATTATATATGTATATAATTTTACTTTTGAAAATTTTGATTATAGATAATGGTCACATTATTAATGAGACTGCTAATATGTGATCTATAGTCCTCCACAAAAGCTAACTTTAGTAATAATAAATTGGCTTTTCTGTGATAGCTTCACTTTTTTTTCCTATTCCTTCTGCCGCTAATGTTGAGCAACTGAACTATGCTTTCAAATGCTGTTTTAGACTGTCCCTGTTGTATATCAACACTACCTTTGTTCTCCTTCAGCCTGTATTACTGTAATTGTTCATTCTATATGAAAGCTAAGAAACTGAAATCAGAGGATCACTGGCAACTACTTGCCAGTGTGTGTGTGTGTGTGTGTGTGTGTGTGTGTGTGTGTGTGTGAATTTCCCTATTCATTTTTTTTTTTTTTAAGATTTTATTTATTTGACAGAGAGAGACACAGTGAGAGAGGGAACACAAGCAGGGGGAGTGGGGGAGGAAGCAGGCTCTCCGCTGAGCAGAGAGTCCGATGTGGGGCTTGATCTCAGGATCCTGAGATCATGACCGGAGCCGTAGGCAGATGCTTAATGACTGAGCCACCCAGGTGCCCTTCCCTATTCATTTTTAAATAACTATTTTAAAAATAACTACTGGCAATAAGGTAATCATAGGGACAGATCTTGATACAAAGATGTTAATCACAGGGTTATTTATACTAACAGTACATACACATATCTGGCTAATGGTAGGTAAATAGGAAAATAAATCATAGTGTATCCATACAATAAGAGGTGAAGCTGCCAATAATTTATTACTGTTAATGTTCTGGGAAATGCTGAAGTTATGTTAAATGGGGGAGAGGTCAGAAGCAGAGATTGCAGTTTTGTAATTAAGATTGGGCTGTGAAGTCTGAGATGTAAATAGCAGGTTTTAAATTCTAGCTATGTGATCCTGAGCAAATCACTTAACTTCTGTGTGTCAGGATGGCTGGAAGCACAATGAAGTAGTAGTGTTTGATAATTAGTAATCCTTCAGTGAATATTTCTGTATATGTAATAAAAATGAGGCATTGAAAAGACTAGGAAAAATGCATCAAATGTTAGCTCTGCAGGTTATAGAATTATACTTTCATATAATCAAAAATTTGTTATGAGCATTTTACTTGTCCATTAACAAACTTGTAATAGGTGATAAACAGGGTTGGGAGAGTAGCTTCAGTTAAAATTGCGTTGTGCAGTTTGAATATTTAAAGAACAGAAAACCCCCAGTTTTTAAATTACAGAGAAATAAGTCACACTTCAGTAACCTATTTTCTTCAGTACTTGGGCAGTTAATATTAAGGACGTTTTGGGCACCTGGGTGACTCAGTTGGTTAAGCGACTGCCTTCGGCTCAGGTCATGGTCCCAGAGTCCTGGGATCAAGTCCCACATCTGGCTCCCGGCTCAGCGGGGGGCCTGCTTCTCCCTCTGACCCTCTCCCCTCTCATGCTGTTTCTCTCTCTCTCTCCCAAATAAATAAGTAAAATCTTAAAAAATATATATTAAGGAAGTTTTTGTCCTGGAATGGCTCTGGGATGTGATGTTGATTGGTGGAATTAAAAAATAGTATCACAAAGAGGTCATAACAAGTTCCTGAAGTTTTACCTCTGTGACTTCCTTCACAGTTGTCTTCTAAATGTTGGTTCTTTCCCTCAGCCCCCTTAAAACTGTTCTCTGTGTACTTCTCTATATATTCGTTTGTTTCCCAAGCTTCATTTATTGACTCTTTGTGGATGATTCCCAAATATAACTTCTTCCATTAGATCTAGATTCGTATTTCCAATAAAAATGTCTATCTGAATATTCAAATTGATCATGTCCAGAGTACTTACGGATTTTATTTTGTCAATGGCCACTGTTCTGTTGCCTGGAATTAAAAAGTTTGCATCCCTTTATCTTCTTAGTCAATAAAATCTTTCTGAAATGTTCATAGTATCCAACCTCTACTTTATCTTCATTCTTACTACCCTAATTTAGGTCTTTTATTTCTCGTTTGGGTAATTATTTTCTATGTGACTTTAGTGTTTTTATGTCTTAAGTTGTAAATAATACAAATTTAATACAAATTTAATTTTAGGAAATTAAAAAATACAAGTATGTCTATTCTCCAGAAATTATCTGCAATCTCTTCAGATGTTTGTATATACAAATTAAAAAAAATTTTTTTTTTTTTACAAAAATAAGCTGATACCATACGTTCTACTGCAGCTGCACTTAAGTTTTTTTCATTGTAAATATATTTTGGATATTTTCATGACACACATCTGCTATTCTTTTGAACAGCTGTCATCCCATATATGGATATACTGTAATTTTTCCATTTTCTTATTGATAGACTGTATCATAGGTAAGTTAGATTTGTCCAGGTGGGCGTGGGGAAAGGCAGCTAGATTGGCCCTCAAGGAATTCTGATGGAGCAGATCATAGGTTTCCCAACTCCATGTGGAAGCTTAGCATCCCTCCAACTAAATTCTTTTTTGCTTAAGTTAGCCAGCATCTGACTTTGTGGTTGCAACCAATGACCCCTAATTGTACAGGTTTTCCAGGTTTTCACTATTATGAACTACTGCAATAAATCTAAACATTTTTGCGTTCTTGGGCAAATATTATCTGTTAGTACAAGAACTTATTTTAATATTTATCATATGTAGTAATTTGTCTTATTTTTTCACTTCTCATTACTCTTTGAATCCCAAGTACAATACTGTATTCCACAAATAATTTTCTTAATTGAGGTAAAATATACCTAACAAAATTAACCATTAACCATTATTAAAGTGTACAATTGAGGGCGTTTTAGTGCAAAGGTGGCATGCAAACATCACGACCATAAATAATTTCTAGTTAAAGAACTTTTTAGTCACAGATTAATCTTACTAAATTATATCCTTGTCCATGCCTCACATAGTGAAAAGGGAACTGTTGCCCACTATAAGAAAGTCCAAATCTCTTGATACTTAAGAACTTCTTTCTAGGGACACCTGGGTGGCTCAGTCGGTTAAGCGTCTGTAAGCGTCTGTCTTCGGCTCAGGTCATGATCCCAGCTTCCTGGGATAGAGTCCCGCATCGGGCTTCCTGCTCAGCGAGGAGCCTGCTTCTCCCTCTGCCTGCTGTCCCCTGCTTGTGTGCTCGCTCTCTCTGACAAAATCTTAAAAAAAAACCAAAAAACTTTCTAGGTTATTGATTCTTTACGTGTGCACTCCAGATTGGGTTAAGTGTAATAGTTTGCAATAAATCAGGAAAAATTAAATACAAATTAAGAATTTGACGTAAGTCCTTTGTCTCACACCTTCAATTCTTGGCAATCTTTAGACCTATGACAAAATTTAAAGAAGACGCCAACAGGGGCGCCTGAGTGGCTCAGACGGTTAAGCGTCTGCCTCCGGGTAGGGTCGGGATCCCAGGGTTCTGGGATGGAGCCCCGCATCGGGCTCCCTGTTCAGCGGGAAACCTCCCTCTCTCGCTGTCAAATAAGTGAAATCTTAAAAAAAAAAAAAAGATACCAACATAGGAAAGCTGAACAAGTTCTTGCACTTTCCATAGTCCCATAGCTACAGCTCACCTCCCGCGGCAAGAAATGCCGTGTGGAGCGGTGTGGGTCTGACCTCTACAGTTTGTGGTTCCATTCTCCTAACCCTGAAATGAGAAACTACACTGCTCTAGGCTTAACTATCTGGAGCTTTGAGTCGGTGGGACGGAAGTCTCAAAACCTGAGAGCCTGGGCTTCCTTCCAAGGAAAGAATCATTAGCCGCGAATCCTATACACCACGGTTTCTCAAAGGTGCAGGCCACAATCCACCTGTTGAAGACGTTGATTTCGTCGAACAGCACCCTAGAATCACGGAGTCCGAATACCTAGGGGTGTGGCTGCGGAGTCAGCTTCCCACCAGCACTCCAGGTGGTTCCAGTCTTTGGCGCGCTAGTTTGAGACCGGGGGAGCACCGCCCTGCCCGGGGAGTGGGGGTGGAGGGGCGACGCAGAGATACGCGCCAAGCTCTCAAACGCCTGCGCTAGACTGGGGCCAAAGGCACACAGCCCTGCGGCAGCTAGCAGCCAAATCTCGTGTGCGCCCCTGCACCGCGGGAACTAGTCGCCCGCCTCTCTCCACTCCGCTCGCCTAGCGCAGAGCCTGCGCGCATGCGCAGCGCGCCTTCTCTCGCCGCCGCGCCCTCAGCTACCCTGGTTACCGTTGGTGTTTGCGAATTCTCTGCAGCACCTTCTTCGCTGAAGACCAGCGCCGCCGGGCTCTAGCAGCAGTTCCATACGCGCGCGCCCGCGTCACGTGGTGCGAGGCTGCCTCGCGGTTGCTGGCGTGCGGCTTAGCGGTGAGGAAGGAGCTGTGGCCACCGCTCGCCTTTCCCACCCTAGGGCGGGTGCGCGGATAAATATGGCGAAGTGGGGATAGCTGGCGCCGAACCCGACGCGATGAGGCGCGCAGGTGGGGCGGTCGTCGGGGCCCCCTGACGTGGACGCCGGGCTGTTGGCGATTTTACCTGGCGACCTCGGGCCGGCGCCCAGTAGGTCAGACCACGGACTCCGCGGGTCGCCGAGGGTCCCGCCGAGAGCCGGAGGCAATGGATGAACAGAGCGTGGAGGTGAGGCGGGTCGAGAAGGGTGGTGGTTAGTTCCCCCCCCCGCCACCCGCCGAGCGTTCTTTATTTGGGGCGCCCTGCCCCAGTTCTCCCTCTAGTAGGGCACCCCCACCCCGACGCTGCCGCTGTGGTGAAGGCTGGCCCAGTGCGAAGGACGCCGTGTTCGGTCTGCAGCCCTCCAGGTGCCTTGTGTTCTTTTGTTTTTTTTAAGTTTTTTTTTTTTAAAGATTTTATTTATTTATTTGAGAGAGAGAGAGAGAGAGCGCACATGAGAGGGGGGAGGGTCAGAGGGAGAAGCAGACCCCCTGCTGAGCAGGGAGCCCGATGCGGGACTCGATCCTGGGACTCCAGGATCATGACCCGAGCCGAAGGCAGTCACTCAACC